CATTGCCCTCGCGCAGAGGGTCCGAATAAATAATACAGTCCCAAATGAATTATTACAGTCCGAATAAATACAAAATTCTAAGTAATTAACAAATCAAATTAGGAAAGCAATAAATTGGCATGTAAGCCAGAGATTGCCTCAAATCTGCATCGGATGATGAATGATGCATGCTCGGGTTGCCTTGTGCGGAGAATCCCTCGCGATACCCCGGTTTGCCTCTGTTTGCAATTGTTCTTGGAATGTGTGTCAAGCTCCGGAAGGCTGCCGATTTCTGATTTGCTGCAACAGAGAGCAACAAAGGGGCATGACAAAGTATTTTCACATATGTATGCATGACTACTCTTCAGGGAGTGTAGTCCTTGATCCTCGTGCCACCAATCACCCATATCGATGCATGATGGCCGAGGAGTCGAATTGCACGACTCAATATGAAATGAATGCACATATAAACACAACAAGACCTAAACTCCATCATGGATTATCCGGAGTGTCGGTGACTGGGAATTGAGACACGTTCCGTCACTCGGAGTACGAAACGTCCCTCGTTTTTCGTGCTCGAGCTAACTCCTATTCCAAACACAATGCAATATGCATGACATGCATGAATGCAACTAATATACAACCTAGCATGCACAATGCTATGAAATGGCCTACACGATGTACGGGATAACATGGCATACGCAATGCGCTAACATATAACCTAGCATACACAATGCTATGAAATGAAATGGCATACACAATGCACAATGGACTTACATCAACATGAGTGGACCTCAGCCACACTCACATCAGTAGCCATGAGATGAAAATGAGACCCTCAAAATGCGTGCACACATGCACGCAAACCGAGGACCAAGCCTATGGCATCAAATGCCACTCTACCCAAAGCATGGCAAGGCATGGAATATGGTATGCAATCATGAAAATTTCAGCATTGAAATGTGATACAAAACAGTCCCGAAACATGGAAACATGGCTCCCGATGCATGGAATGGCCCCGAAACACAAAACCTGGCATACGCATTGGCCTATAGCTATACAAAACATGCATTATTTTATCATGAAGCATGAAGACAGATGAAAGGAAGTCCCAAAACATTCATATTTTCAGTTTATAACAAGCCTAAAAAATGAACATAAATAGGGCCAATCTATCATGCAAAAATGGCCCTAAAATAGAGATTAAACACAAAGGGACAGCAGTTGGCCCCAAATGGCAAATAGCCCTTCAAAAAATTTGAAGAGGAGATCAAAACAAGGCACTTTACAGTTTACATCAAGCCACGAAAATAATCAAAGATAAGGCCAAACTATCATGCAAGAAAAGGCCTAAAATAGGGATAAAGAGACAAGTGGCAGCTTCTGTTCTCAAATAGAGTAGAGCCCTTCAACAATGTTGAAGAGGGGCTTAAGAAAAGGTATTTCACAGTTTATGGAAAGATCCAAAACAGCTCACAAATAGGCCTAAAATACTATGCAAAAATTGGCCTAAAAGAGAGATAAAGAAGCAAGCGATAGCAAGAGGCCTCAAACAGAGGAGATCTCTTCAACAATGTTGAAGAGGGACTCAAAACAAGCTATTTTACAGTTTATGGAAAAGTCCAAAACAACTCATAAATAGGCCTAAAATACTATGCGAAAATAAGGCCTAAAAGAGAGTTAAAGAGGCAAGTGATAGCTGGAGGTCTCAAACAGAGAAAGACCCTTAATTAAACATGAAAAGGGGCTCAAAATATGATTATTTACAGTTTGGGTCGGAGCCCAAAAATGCAAGAAAGTATGGCTTAAATACAAAGCAAAATAAGGCACAAAAGAGAGAAAATGTGACTCACCCTTGTAGACCAATGCTTCAACAACTTTTGGGCCAAGTTTGGGAGTTCTTTACCTCTGGAAAGCAGCCTCAAGTTGCTGAAATGGAGGATGGATGCCTTGTGCTATGAGGTGGTGTAGAAATGGTCCAAGAACAAAGGTGTTTTGAGGCTTGGAAGAGAAGGAGATGGAGGATGAATGCAAGAGCTCCAATGGATTTTTCTAACCCTTTAAAAATGCAGCTGAGCGTGCTGGTTTTATAGGGAAAGGAGTGGAGGAAAGGGGGGAAAAATGGAGGGGAAAACCAATTCAAATTTCCCCCCAAAAGGAAAGACCCTCGGGTATAGGGTCTGGAGGAAAACAAATTGCACACCTGGAACACCCTTGGGGACGGGATCATGGCCGGCCAGCTCAAAAGGGCCAAAAAGGTCATCCAACCAGGTAGGTGGTCGGCCTGCCACCTTTTCTGGTCGGCCTGCTACTTTTCAGGACAAAAAATGGGTCTGCCGGAAAGAAAGGTGGTCGTCCAGTGGTAGGGAAGTCCAATGGTGGCCGTTCAAGTATCCAAATGGAAGCCCCAGAAGTTATCTTTCCAATGGAGCAAACCTTGCATTAAAATTCCTCCTGTGGAAAAAGTTATGCCTGTTTTGGTGAAGCCGCGCAGATTCGGTCCAACCGGAGTGATGCCCTACTTCAATCAACCATGTCTCCCCCGTCCAAAATTGGCTTTAGGAGATTCTTGAGTGCAAAATGAATCTCCGGAAGTCTTCTTTCCAACGGTGGTGGCATCATATCTTGATTCCAAGTATGCAAAGAGTTATGTTCGTTTCGGTGAAGCCGCGCAATGTTTTCCTCCTTCCCGGATTCATGCTGAATCACTTTTGACCAAAAAAAACTGGTTTTTCAGAAATATTGCTGGCCTCCCACTCTCCTACAAACTTTCTAACAACGAAAATAAGGTCTCCACCAAAAATGAGCCCAAACCGATGCAAAACGAAGGTTCGGGGGCCAAAACACGCGGCCCGGGGCCCCGAAAATGGGCTGTTAAGCACCGGAGGTGGCGTTCGACCACGAAGTTGGTCTCTCGGGCCACAATGTTCCTCAAAAGGGAGGAAATAAGGTGTATGCCAAAAACCGGAGCAAACGGAGGTGATTAGGCGGTCCCGAACCGAGGCACACGGCCGTCGGCTTCGAAAAATCGGAAACCGGGCTCAAAACGGGAAAAATAGCCTACGACCACAAAACGTAGCCTACGGCCACTGAGAGATGATCTACGAGACCTCTCCCTCCCTTTGGGAAGAGAAAACAGAGAAAACAGAGCCTGGTTCGCAAACCGAGGCAAGGTACGAAAGAGTCCGGAAGTCCGGAGGCAAGGCTCGCAGCCGGGACTCTGAAACTTCTAAACGAGTACAATATGCAATATCACCGAGCGCTCAACTGGTGACGTCTGAGTCTTAAGGTCGGTCAAAAATGGGGTGTCTACACCGGCCTATTTAGAGAGAATCGGGAAAACCAACGGTTGAACCGCCGAACCGGTTCTTTTCTTTCTTTCTTTCTTATTATATATATATATATATTATATAAGAAAATTTTAGTTGAAAATTTTCTTTTAAGGATGACTCAACTAATGCATAAGAGAAATACTGAGAAATTTTAGGAAGAATTGAGCCAGAGAAATTATGAGAAATTCAGAATTGCTGTAGACTTTCTAGAGAAATTTGGTCCAATTTTCTCTGGACTGAAATTTCTCTGGACCAATTTTCTCTGGACTGAAATTTCTCTGGACCAATTTTCTCTGGACTGAAATTTCTCTGGACCAATTTTCTCTGGACTGAAATTTCTCTGGACCAATTTTCTCTGGACTGAAATTTCTCTGGACCAATTTTCTCTGGACTGAAATTTCTCTGGACCAATTTTCTCTGGACTGAAATTTCTCTGGACCAATTTTCTCTGGACTGAAATTTCTCTGGATCAAGGTTGAGGGACCTTAGACATTATGAAAATATTGTTGATGGACCTTAGACATCATAAAAATATTTGATGTCCTTTATGCTATAAAATCATAATATCAAGGACCTTAAAAAAAAAACCCCATTTTTTAAAGACCTCGTTTTAGTTTTTAACTTAAAATTTCAAAAATCTTAAACCATTACACTAACATTTTAATTGTGTCTAGTTTTGGATAAAAACATCTGGAAAACGTGTCTCTAGTGTCTTTTAGTGCGCGCGGGGACTCGATCGATACAATGCAACATGTTTCAAACAAAATGCACATTAGAAACAGTTATTGATTCTTAGTATCTCCAATACCTATTATTGATTCAAAATATAATTTTATTCTTCAATTTTTACCAAATTTTTTTTAATCCCTTATATTTTAATTGATTACGAATTAATCTTCAGACTGTCCATAAAACCTTGGACCAAAAGTGATGATCGATGATCACATATTTCAATACATTTTAAGAATATTAGAGAAGAAAGTTATTATGCAAATCATATTTTTCACCTTCTAATTTTCACTGAAGTTCTATTTTGCCCACTCATATCTGCAACTCTAATCAAATTTTTAAGAGTTGAGTGATGAGAGGATTACACTAAAACACAGGTAAAAATATTAATAATTTAATTGTGATAATTAAAAAATGAGAGATGGAAAAGAAATTCAAGTAAAGTTATAGGGTGAAGTATGTAATTTATTTATTGGTGAAAAGTACAATTTATTGATGAATTCAAACAATAATACATTAGGGTATTAAAAGTTGCCTGAAGAAGTTATTGGGTGGTATTGAGGCATTGTTATGTGGTGTCACATACAATTTTTCACCTAGAATTTTATTTAAAATTATCGATCTATGGCGCGTATTTTTTCTATACATGACTCTATATATGCCATTCAATCTCTACCACACAACTATCTTGGAAGAAAGAGATTGGCACACTTTTCTAGGTAAAATTTTTCACCTTGGCAAGAACCCTTTATAAAGCTAGCATTTAAAGTGCGAATGAGTTCACCATAACTGAATCGAGCACATCATTCATTTGTCTTATACATGAAAAAGTTATTATTTTATTTTATTATTATGACCATTATTTTTTTTATTGACCAATATGAAATATTCACTATTCACGTTCTTACACCAAACCCATTGCAGCAAGTATGCTACATAGATTAAACTCACTCCACAAAGTGTATAATTTTGCTTTCACATTTTATTAACAAGTGCATTTGATAGCTTCATGTAAGAACACCTTGCATGATATTGAACCATTTATTGAGGAAAATACACTTATTTGGGCAAGTACATCATAACTATGATTCTAAAGCTTATTAAATTGAGGGCAAAAAAAGGAAAGAAAAAAAGAAGAAGAATTGAAACAAAGAAGAAGATAATTTGGTAATTGAAGATTTGAAGGGAACTGAATCAAGTTTGCTTTTGTGACTCCATGGATTCGAGCACCTGAAAATAAGAAGAGTAACTATCTTTAGGAAAATGAATTATAGTATTTCGAAACAATCATTCAACTAACTATTTTTATTGTATAAAATCAAATATCCGCCTTGGGACCATTTGTCTTTATTCTCTTTCCCAACTCTATGTTTCATTTTCCAACGTTGTCAAAATTTTCAAAATTAACTTTTAAGAAAATTATTAATTATTAATAAAATAAATAAATTGTTTTAAATTCAAATTAATGAGACATGGATAAGCTAGGAAGGTGGAAAAGAATAGAGACAGGTGATCTGAAACTACAAATACACAATAGTCGTTATGTAGTTTACTTACTAAATTTGTCTTGGCATTCTGCATTTGTAACACTCCATCTTGCTAGCATAGTTGTGTGCACCACATCCAAGTCTGTCCAAATCCAAATTGCATTCATAGTAGATAAGAACCCTAATTACAAGAAATGACTTCAAAAGGATCTCTAAGTAATAGTAGTATAGCACATTGTTCTTGTTTTCATAGTTGTTCAACATACGATACTGCTTTGTTCTTTTCATGCTACATTCTCCATAAATTTTCATTTAATAGGGGATATGGTTTGTATCATAAAATTATATGCAATGATATAATTACTAATTGTCAAAAAAATAAAATAAAAACTAACATGGTGCAAATCCAGTCACCCTTTTTCCATCCAGGGAGGCCACTGCCATCATATACGCAACCGCTTGAGGTCATCATGCTTCCAACATACTCGGTATAGTCATGTTTGGATGCGCCACATCTATGGCAGCTTTGTCGGCTCGCGTAGTTGTGTGCTCCACAATTAATGACATTGCAGTACCAGTCCCCAGCCAAGACTTCCGTCCTGTAGGACGACACTTCACTGCCTCCTCCAAACTTGGAGCACCCACATCTCTGGCATGAATCCCGCTTTTTAAAGTTCAAATGTTGGCATGAACTTGAAGCGCAAATCCAATCTCCTTCCCTGCTCATTGTTTTTTCTTTCTAAATAATATCTGAAAGTACAAAATATTGATCAACAAAGAAAGCGAATTTTATTTAAATGAAGATAAGAAGATACAAGGAAGAACAAGATAGCATGAGGAGATTAAAAGCATCATTGTTAAAACATTGTATCCCAAGTACAAAATTTATTGACATAAGAAACAAATTTTCATCTTTGAAACTTGTAATTGTTCACTTTGCATAAATAAGCAACAAAAACAAAGTGCCTCTTGGTATACATCCTCAGCTACAAGTCATGTGCCAAATATGAAAAAACTTTTTTTTTTTCAACTTTATTTTCTTACCACGAGACGCAAATGTATGAATCCAGTGTATTTATTAATGTGAATCCTACTATTTTTGTATCGAATTGTAAAAAAATTTGTTTAGTAACAGATCCTAAAAGCTAATGGTAGAGTGCAAAAATTGCAACATTTTTTTTGTTTTTTTTCTGTTTTTTTAATGGCATCACCAAATGAAGTGCTGTCACTATGGAACCTCTTTTACTCTTCTCAATCCGGGTGTAAAGTTCTTTAGTACGGAAATGGAAAACAAAGTTATGTTTTCCAAGTTATTTAGTAGGGGAATAAAGTTTTGGTGGTTTAGCATTTTCTTGTCCAAGATTGGGGTTCAAACTACACGTTTTTTTTTGTTTTTTTTGAATTATGGAACTACACTTTTTTTTTTTTTTTTTTTATCACCAAAATTTTTTTTTAAAAAAAAAAAGGTATATGAAAAAATAAGTTCAAAACATAGGAAATGATAAAATTAAGCAAAAGAACAAATATGACATGTAGAGGGAGGGACTTACCTCAAGAAGATGAAGGAATGAAACAAGAAATCGCAGCACGGTTAAGTTGTTGTGTTGCCAAAGAAAATTGTTTATGGATTAATGATTTTGGTAGATGGGGGAGATGGGTTTTTATACTTGTTATTTGTTAAGGCCTCAGGGTGAGTCCTCGGATGTTCCTATCTCATTCTATTTGACTTCTATGATTGTATCTTTAGGACATGATTCCATAAGTGGAAATTTCTCTAAAAATTTTAGATTGCTTCCTCTTTTGTGTTATATTTGCGACTGGGTAGTGTGTGGGGGAGTATATATTAGACGCATCTCACCAGCTACGTTTTTTTTTTTTTTTTGGGTCGATTAATCAAGAGACGAGGTTAGTCCCACCCGCCTTTTATTGCTTCTTTCTTATTTGTCAGTGATACCTTCAAACCGATAGCTCTCACCGGATATATTTTATTATTTTATTTCACCTCTTATGCAAATCTAAATAAAAAGTTGCATGATGAGAACATAAAGTTCATAAAAAAAGCATATTGAGGATCGTGCGTCAATGACATATTTTAAATTATGAGGACCATTTTTTAAGAAAATTTCCTACAAAATTTATGTTTATATATTAGGAAATGATACAGAACTCTAAATTTAGAGTTCTAATTTGAGTTCTGATGATATGGCAAAGCAAAAAAATAATAATAATAAAAAAAAAATAAAGTACAAATATCATATCATAAGTAGAGGCCAACTCATTAAAACTTTTCTATGGTTCTATATTTAGATATTTTTTTTCTTATATTTTTTTTTTGATCAGCAAAGAAAATCTTTATTGATGAAAGAAACCAAAAAAGATAGACTACATCAATAAAGAGGAACTTGGAGCTAACACAAAGCTCCAAGCGCCAGTTGGTGAGAAACCAACAAAAAGAGAACAAAAGAAGCAGAAGAAAAAAAAACACAACCAGAAAGAAAACAACTAAAAAACAGCACACCCAGCCAAACAACTTCACCACAAGGCCACCTATATATTATTTATTGTATGAAAAATCACATGAGAGATGATGAATTATGATGAGAAACTTTAGTGAGATGCCCCTTTTTACATGATTCTCCTTGAATTATTTAGGAAAAGTCTTTGAAGTTTGATTCTCTTTGCAATAGATCAACCGAGTGGGGAGGTGTTAACTGAAAGGTGTCACACGTGCATATGTCATGCACATATATATATATATATATATATATATGTACACACACATTAGAGTGTATAAATGGGATGTGTTTATAATTTTGTATTTCAATTTTTGAGTAATTTGAAATGAGGAAAATGAGTTAATTTGAAAAGGACAAATTACACTAGTAGTTCTTACATTTTATTTCTGATGTCATTTTAGTTCTTGCACTTTTAGTTGGCTTAATTTTGACTCAAATTTTATGTCAATTTTAATTCAATTGACAATGCCATTCGGATTTTTTTATGAAAAATTATTATTAAGTTAGTTGAGGTTTTTTTTAATCGGCAAAAGAAAATAAATTTTTTTGATGTAAACAAAATGCAATACACATGAAATACATCAATAAGAGGGGCATGAACAAGTATCATAGTGAACCTCATAATCCTAACTAGGTTGGCACCATTAAAAACACCAATCATGTGCAAGGTCAAGCCAAAAAAATTGGTGAGAGACCAAACAGATAGACACCAAAATCAACAACCCATCACACCAAGTTCCAAGAAAAAGACTAGGCAAAAACCACCCAATCACACTACCAAACTAATCTTCCAAATCCTCACAGATCACACAGCAATATCATCAACAGCATAATGAACAATGATGTACTCCTCTGCTTCACCTCTGTCATTACTAGCATGGAGCAACCATCAAGCATCAAACCACCAAGATTCCCAACTCCATCAGTCCACTAAATTAGTTGAGGTTAATTCACCGAATTAATTAAGTTTATAATTTTCCTCTAAAAGCATGACATGCCGCTCATTTGCACATGTTTCATAAAATAATTGTAATCAATTGAATCAAATTGAGACAAAATAAAAATTTATAATCAAAATTGCTAATTAAAATTACAAAAATTAAAATGATACAAAAGTTAAAATATAGGGATTACTAATGAAATTTGCCCATTTGAAAACCATTCAGTAGTTATTTTAACAATTGAACAGTTATTTTATAGACATTATTAGAAAAGAAAAAAGCGTTACAAAGTTTCAAACCATATTATGATGGGTTGTGTGCATTATATAATATATGTGAATTCCATTGAAATGAGTCTCTGTTAGAGCGCATACGCCTTCCTGAGTAGTATATGATGTACACATGTTACAGGTTGAAACTTGGAGAAGACGAAAAGGGGATTAGAAAGTGTTTTTTTTTTTTTCTATTTAGGAATCAGTTCCTAGATTTTTTTTTTATTTTTTTATTTTTTTTAAAAAAAACTTTATTGATATAAGAGCAAAATACAAGATACAAATAAAATATATCAATAAAGAAAGGCAAGTACAAAAACATCACAATGGACTAAATCATCCCAACTATGTTAGCACCAAAAACCCATCCTATCATTTGTTAGCTTCTCCTAAGTTGGTGAGCAACCATCCAAAGAAACAGAAAAAACCTCTACAACAAAAGCACATCAAGGCAGTCCAACAGATCAGTCCACTGCTAAGCATAGCAGTCCAATCCGACAGAGCAGAATCTGAACCTGAACATAGCAGACCAACATAGCAACCACCAAGACTTGCAGCCATCTTTACAGCAGATAGCCAACTTCCTATACAGGACCAGTAACAGAGCCCAAGCTGACAGGCAGATACACCTCCAGCAGAAGAACCAACCATAAGGCTAGGCTCAAGCATCAACTCCAGCAGAATCAGTTCCTAGTTGATGCTGCGATGCACATGCATTGCCAGATTCTATTGTTCCTTCTTCTTTGTAATTCCATGTTCATTTCCCTTTCCCTGTCGTCAATAATTCAAAAAGCAATTGGAACATTCATTTCATATTATTTCATATCTATTTCTATTATTTGCGTCTATTATTGACTCATGTGTTATGTATATGCAATGCATATTTATTATTGGGAAAACAACAATACTACGAACTCATAAAAAAAAATACCGGAAAATTATTCAGAATTTGAATTGGATGGGCCAGATTGATAGGAACTCACAACATATTAGGTTCAATTTTCACTTACACTCACTTTCTAGGTAAATTTATGGGTAAATTATTTATTTATTTATTTATTTATTTTTTTTGTGTATATCTTTTTGTTGTGAAAAAACCTCTTCAGCTAAATCAGGATTTCTTAATGTTTTTCGTGGCATAACAAACCTTTTTGCATGCATTGTTACGTTACATGTATATCCAAGCAAGGCATGCAGAATATATTATGCTTCATGGTTAGGTATCTTTCCACCTTGTGGCATATATGCCACATCTTAGATTGGGTATTCCTTGAGATTATATATCTGTTATAGCTTATGTTGTGGTCTAATTTAACAGCGTAGTGAGAAATTTTAGAGATAAGACATGATGAATACTCTTTATTAGACAATTAGAAGAGAAAGGATGACCCACTGCCTCGTTTGGCAAGTGACTTTTTTAGTCAAAAAGTCAAAAAATTACTTAAAAAGTCAAAAAGCCAATAGCCTATTCCAAAAAGTCAAAAATTCTCTTTTCTCTCTACTTTTTGCGCATCTTTTCGTAAAAAGTCAAAAGGTCATTTCAAATATACTAGTTTCTTTTATATTATATTTTAGCCAAAAAGTCAAAAAGTTACTTAAAAAAGCATGTTCTCAAATGAGGCCTGTGGGTTGTGGTTTCCTATTTTTCAAAAATACTACGTAGATAATGTCATATTTTATTATAATTTTGAACTTTTTAACCTTTTTCAATTTAATTATATTCTAAATAATAATTAATTTTAAATTCTTAATTATTTATTATAATTCTTAACATCTTAACATAATTTAAATTTAATTATATTTTAGGTCAAGCCTTAATTATGATTTATATTTTAAATTTATTGTCAATTATATTTTATTTTAATTAACAACTTAATCTAATTTTAGGTTTAGAGAAGATGAGAGTAAAATTGTCTTTTTATTATGTTAATTTCACTTTGTTTTTCCAAAATATTAGGCCTATTCTAAAAGATAGTATTTGTGATTCACCTTTGGTTAGTTTGGATAGAAAAACTAACAGTCGCACTTTTGTCTAAAACCACATGAGGAATTTCTGACTACACTTGAACCATAAATAGTAAAAATACTATGGCCTCAAACTAGAGGGATAAAATGAATTTTATCCGAGATTTAGTACTTAATTGGACTTACTAAAATAAAATAATAGGAGTGAATTTTGTCCAACATAATGGTCTAAAATTTGTATGTTTATATAGTATTAATACAAACTATTTAACATTGTTGAATTGTCATCTTTTTGGCCTGAGGAATGGCAAATATGGTCATTTTGGCTTAACAGTTAAGTAACACCTTTTGCAATGTGAAATTTCGGATTCAACTCCCATAGAGAGGATCTTAATACTTGGTAGTTTTAGTAGTGATTGTGTTATGCTTGGGCTTTGTAGGCTAGATAATAAGTTGTTAAGGGCTCATTTGGCAAGTGGTGATTTTAGCTAAAAAGTTAAAAAGTTATTAAAAAAATTAAAAAATAACAACTTATACTAAAAAGTCAAAAATTCTCTTTTCTTTCTACTTTTTGCACATATTTTCGTAAAAAATCAAAAATTCATCCAAAACATACTAGTTTTTTTACATTATATTTTAGCCAAAAAGTCAAAAAATTACTAAAAAAAATCTGTTTCTAAACGAGGCCTAAGTAAGTTTTGTTGACTTTCTAATAATTATGAGTTAATAGTCTATTTAATGATATAATATCTATTATACTTATAATTACTCTGCTATTGATTAATAATAATAATAATAATCATAATAATAATAAAAATTGGGAAATGGTTTTGTTTATATAATTTTGGAGTGTGAACAAAGGGAAAAGTTAAGGATCAGGAAAATTTTTTCATGAAAATGATCATGAAATATTTATGATCCTTGGATTACCTTGATTAGTGTGTAGTACTTTATTTTAAGTGTAATCCAAGGGTCACAAAACTTTCGTGATTATTTTCATGAAAGATTTTTCATGATACCTAGCATTGCTGGTGAACAAAACATCCCCTAATTGGTTCAAAATAGCGTTCTCTATATTCAAAATGTGTATTTATCTTACTCAAAATGATTGATCCCACTATTT